AGCCATTTCAGATTATTGATAGGACTAAAAGAAAATCACGAGTATTTTGTGGATAGTGAAACAGAGCCTAGATTCCCGGTCAATGCACGCACACTGCTGAAAACAAATGTAAAATTAATGAAAAAAGTTGTCGAGCCTGGCCATTACATTCATATTGGATTAAAAAAACAGTTATTAAAAATTGCCCCCAAGTACTTGAAAAACGTAAGGTCTTTTAAATTATTAATTAACATTGACGGATTACCTCTGTTCAGAAGTTCGCCTGATCAAGTGTATCCCATATTATGCAGTATAGTATCTGTTCCAGAATTGCGTAAACAAGTGTTTCCTATAGGAGTATATTATGGTAAAGAGAAACCTACAAATCTAGAGGATTACTTGCAAGATTTCATTGTCGAAATTAATAGTATCAATGAAAATGGCATTAATTTCGAAAATCAGACTGTGCAGTTAGATGGTGTTTATTTTGTTTGCGATGCCCCAGCAAAAAGTTATATAATGGGAATAGTAGCGCATACAGGATTTCATTCCTGCACTAGATGCACTGTCCGAGGTGTCAATTCAGATAAACGACGAATCTTCGTTGATTTAGAGAGTCCTACTCGCACGTGTGAAGATTTTCTGGAATGGAGAGATCGTAATTTTCGACGTCGAGATACTCCTCTTACACAAATTTAGGTTTAGATTTTGTACACCATTTATTTTAGATTATTTACACTTACAATGCCTTGGTGTAATGCGTACGATGATCGTGAATATGTGGTACAAGGGAGAAATTCCTTACAGACTTTCGGCTGCTCAAATTGAATTACTGTCAAATCGTCTCGTTCAATCTCAATGCTGTATTCCCTCAGAGTTTGCAAGAAAGCCTAGAGAGATATATATTATTTTACGGTGGAAAGCAACGGAATTTAGACTATTTATTTTGTATATAGGGCCAGTTGTTTTGAAAAATATTCTTAGTGAAGAAAAATATCTTCATTTCTTGGAATTCCATTTTGCAATGAGGATTTTATTAAACCCGAATCTGTGTAAAGAGCAGGAATTTCGTCAATTTGCCAAAGATCTTCTGAAACATTTTGTTGAATTGACTGCAATATTATACAATCAAAATTTTATTGCCCACAATTTCCATAATAATATACATATAGCTGACGATGCCCATTATTTTGCAGATAAATTAGATAATTTCTCTTTGGATACGGTATCAGCATTTCCTTTTGAAAATTATATGCAGAACATAAAGAGAAAAGTCAGAGGTCGCAGTAAGCCGCTTGAACAAATTGGACGACGAATTGGAGAAATAATGTCATTTGAGTCTGATAATTCAACAGAACTGCAAAATAATCATTATCCGAAGTTTTTTTATCCTCATAATACTGGTCCGTTGCTACCAGCTTGTAGACACCAGTATCGTGGTGTTGCGCTTCTACAATTCAAGTTAATAAATAAAAGTCCTAACAATTGTTGTGGCACTGCTGCCGGAAATATTATAATAGTCGAGAACATAGCTTTTTCTGACCTTTTGCAGGCTCCAATCGTGATTGATAGAGAATTTGTTAACAAATGCGACTTTTACACTACACCTTGTGCGAGTTCCCGAGTGGGAGTATTTAAAGTTAACAAATTGTCTAATCTTAAAATGTGGCCATTGTCAGAAATTACCATAAAATATGTTCAGTTACCGTACAAAACTGGCTACATTGTATCGTCAATTTTACATTGTGACGCGCTTTAATTGAGTATATTAATCATCACTATATCTTCTTTCTGTTTCATTGCATTTTCTCTCTTCACTTATCTTATTTTTCTCTTTCATTGCATTTTTTCTCTTCACTTATCTTTCATTTTATACACGCGCATATCCCCATTCGATTCAAATACGACAAGAAACATTAAAAAGGTAATAATAAAATACTTGAGTTTATCATATAACTCTTTTATGATCGTTTATGTAAATTAATCTTATTTTTTTATTGAGATCAACAATATGTATCAATGACAGAGAGGGGGATTAGTACTTTAAGTTTTTAGATATAACGACAGCATGCCTAGTATGATAACAATTTTCAAACTTATTTGTGGAAGCTCTTGCATCGTAAAGAGCATGCTTCACATGAGAAACAAATGCAATTTTCGAGCACTTTAATTAAACAACATTATCAATTTTACTTTTTAATGTGTGTAAAAAACATTTTCAGAATCCTGTACACTATTCTTCGGCGTGTATTTTTAAATTCTTCACATATCATACAATTACAGATTATCATCGTCTGCCCATTATGTGTTGATAATGTTGTTTATCCATTATGTGCTGATAATATTGTTTATTCATTAATTTTATGTAATTATAAAATTATATAAATGTTTTATAAATGTATTGCTTCGATTTCCTCAGAACATGACAGAGATGACTGATAAAACAAATTCACCAATTAATGACGGTTTGTCAACGATGACTGAATCATGTGAAAAATTACCTGCTGAAAAAACATTTACCGTTAACGACGCGACAGTTTGGTCAATTGTTCACTTTGAAAGTGACGAGGAAGACAATGTTGAAGGTTTCAATGATCTGATTCCATCGTCGTGGATTACGACGATGGGCACATTAAGCTGGTACCCGATAAAATGAACACAAAGGGACCATTCATAAAATTAGTCAAGCAGTGTGCGAAAGCTAATCCGGAGTGGAATTGTTTTTCTATCCGAAAAGATTGAACAAGGCATTGGTAAATTTCAGATGAGATAATTTTTCTTATATAATTTATCTTACAATGGTTTACACTTTCTTGCCCTAATATATAAAATTCATAATCTTTTGCAGAAAACTATGATCGGGGCATGAAAATGCTAGTAAAAATTGATAAAAATCCGAATGCAGCACTACATTCAGATCTTGAAGAAAAAGGCAAAGGAAAACGACTTAAAAAAACAACGCAGCGTTTTGTCGGTTCGCACAATAAAAACGTCCAGAAAAAGCAAATTACACAGACGATGTTACCACCTATTCCGAAATTGGGGAATATAAGCAAGCCTGAACAGGCAAGCCGGTCATTGAGCAATATAAAGGATGTAACGGATAATCAGTATTCATTATTGGACAATGCACAGCAGCCGAATTGTAGCTCATGTGATGAAATATCGATAGATGACAAGGGAACTAAGGGGCTAAAGCCCGCAAAAGAGGATTCTCTCGTCACGAAGATGCCGACTTCGAACCGTGCAACAAATAAGCCAGGAGTGTATAGTGCTGAACATTTTTCAAAAATTATAGGATGTAAAATACCTTCGAAAATAAATCACAAGTGTGCTTATATCGAAGGAGGAGTGGCCACACTGGAATCTCTGGCCGATGCAATTTGTTATCTCAACGGTATGTTGAAAATGTCGTTTATATATACAGAGTAATGAAGATATAACAGATAGTGAAGTAGATTGTTGCTCTCTCACTTATACTAACAACCCTAAATAAAACTTATGTTTTCGATTACTTTCAGTTGAAGTGTTTTCGTGCAAAATGTCTTTGCGCAAAACTGACAAAAATATGGAAAGTTTCTTGGAAACAGCGGCAATGGTGAAGAAGCCTTCAACCGTAATGATGACTCCTACTGTCCATGTTTTGGACGAGTTTCTTGTAAAAAACATAGAAGAATTACGCATCGTCGAACGTAAACTAAAAAAAGAAACTTTTCATTTGCAAGTGGTGAGATATTTTATTTTCTTGCTACATTATTTTTTAGTTACATTATCTATAATTATATATAATTTTTAGGTCGAAGCGCTACACTCAGGAGTCATGGGAGAACCATTAAAAAAACAGATTAATTCCATACTCCGGTTAGTTCTGGACGATGAAGTAGCAAGTGTTTTCAATTGGAAAGGACAACGAGGAACGAAGATAAAGTTATCAAATCGTCGAATTGCCAAAATAATGATTGGTAAGATTTTATTGTCTCACAAATAGACCTGTTCCAATAAATAAATGTAATTGAGCCTGATAGAGATATACTGTGTGCTCTTATATTGTATTTTTTTCTTATAGAAGCAGTAGCTATGGATTTTCCAATGATCAATAATACCACATTTGGGCGGAATGCAGGACCTTGGTTAGCTCAAGCCACCTTTCGTTTAAAAAAGTAAATATTACATATTTTAGTTTTTTATAACACTTTTTTAGCAGATCTTGACTGCGCACGTATGTAATACTAAATTAAATTGCTTAAAAAATTAGTAATATTACGATTTTTAAAATATTTTCCCGTCGATTTTTAAACTTTTTTAAACAAGTTTGCGATTTGTATAACATATAAAACTTTCATCTTACATTACATTTAATTAAACGTATAATTTAGCTATTAAATCGGATTCAATGACATAATTAAAAGTAAAATTTGTTTTAATTAAAACTAACTCTTAATTACTTTACAAATGTGTAATTGAAAATAATTTAACTTCTAATTTTTTTCTAAATTTGTAATTGAATCCAATTTAAATATTACATTATATGTTGATTTAAAATTATGTGAGTTGAAAGTTACATATATGTTGTATTGTAATATTATTAGTAAAATATAAAATGTTTAAAACCTTGTATTATTAGTTTCAATTAAACATGTAATTTAGTTATTAAAGTGTATTCAATTATAAATTAACAAAATAATTAGTAATATAATTAATAATTAGTATGTAATTTATTTACATTTGTAATTATAGTGTTGATATGCCTGATATGAAGCCATCGAAGCCACTCTGTGGTACATTTATATTTTTGAACGTTTAGTAATATCTATTTTCTATTTTGTATTAGCAAAAACGTCAATAACAATAAGAAAGACGACCCAGAAGATGTTACCGATGATAGCGAAAGCGGTTCTTCTGAAAACGATGACGAATTAGGCGATGACCTGAGTGAAAAAGACTGTGATGAAATAGATAAAAGTATCTCATAAAACATCCATAAGTACCCTTATTTTTGTTTTATTATATATTTTAATTATAAAGTACATATTATTACTTATATAATATATTGATGTTACATTATGTATAAGTATACATAAAAATACTTTCTTTGGTAACCAAAAAATGTTGTTTGTTCATTTTTATTTATTCAATTTTAACCCATTTTCAAATAATAAAAATATTTTTCAAATCTTAAATAATCATTTTTCAAATCTTCAAAAACGTTTCTCAAATCTGGAAAATACATTTTCTTCAAATGTTAAACAATCGTATTTATAACGTTAAAAAACATTTTTCCAATTTTAAAATAAACATTTTTTAACATTATAAAAACATTTCTTTAAATGTTAAAATAAACATTTTGTAACGTTATAAAAACATTTGTTCAAATATTAAAATAAACATTTTTTAACGTTATAAAAACATTTTATCAAATGTTAAAATAAATATTTTTTTTAATGAGAAAAAAGGGGACTTAACCCATTATTTTTAACGTTTTTCAAAATGTTTTTAAAAATGTTTTGAAAATGTTTTTAAAAACATTTTTAAAAACATTGTTTGCTGATTGGGTACATACAAAAGTAAAAGTTACACTAATTATATTATATGTATAAAACCACAAAAAGTTTCAATAAAAATATGCATACAACACATTTGTTTTTATACATTACATTGACTATATTCAAGCTATTTATTAGTTCTTACAGATTATTTCTTATAAGTAGGTTTGCACTTATATTATTTCTTTTAACTACCGCAACATTCCTATCAGTATACTGAATATTTCTATTTTCTTGTGGTCCTGTTTCTTCGACTTCCACAACAACGTCTTGCATCTCCAATTCATCTTTTTTCAACAAACAAATGTTGTGTAGTACGCAACAAGCTAATATATGGTAAGGTATAAAATCCACACGATTCATTGCTAAATTATGTAAGAGACTTCTCCAACGTCCTTTTAAAAGACCGAACGCTCTTTCAATTACCATTCTAGTAGAAGAATGACACAAATTATAGTTTTTCTGACATTGTGTAAGATGACCATTATCAGAATAAGGAACTAATAAATGTTTATGTAATGCATAAGCAGCATCTCCGATTATATGTGTATTATTAGGAAATTTCGTTGGATTATTAATATATTCTTTTAGAGACGATAAACGAAAAACACGAGAGTCATGAACAGAACCCACATTCCCGACATAGACGTGTGTAAAATATCTTGTGTGATCACAAACAGCCTGCAAAAAGTGCGAAAATTTGTTTAATGTTAATTGTTCATAAATTCATCAATATTATTAACTTTATTAAGTATTTGAAAAATTAATAATGATTTAGAAGGGAACGTACATAAAGTAACAGAATGTTTGACAATTTAATAGCAACAAATATTTAAAAAATATGTACAAAGTTAAGCATAGTTCAACAATAAAGAACAAGATATACAAATATTATAATATGTATAATATGTATAAATATGTAAATATCTACGTAATATATATTTCATTTAAAAATACCTAAATTAAAATTGAATGTTTTTCAATTTTAATTTAGGTATTGATATTGAGATATATAATTTTTATATTATAGGTCTTTTTCAATTATTAGAAAGCATTTTATTAGAACACTACCTGCAAATGAATTGAATGATGTTCCTTTCGATTCACATAAGCCTCTGGATTTACTGTAGGTGCAGGAATATTTATGTGGGTTCCATCTATAGCCCCAATAGTATCAGGAAAACCACTTATAATAGAGAATCCAAGTATATTATTTTGTATTTTATTTTCTGTGGGCCATACTATAAATCTTGATGAAAGTTTGCATAATGCTTTAGTCACACGGCGCATACTATTTATCGCTGTATCTTTACTAACATTAAATCTATGAATTATTGATCTAAAAAAGAAATTATTGTTGCATATATAGTAGTTATATTAAAATGCAAAAGTCGATTAGAAAAGTAACTATATACCTGTATGAATCTGGAGTTGCAAAACGCCATAAACTTAATAAGAGTTGTTTATCTGGAGATACCATTTGATTTCCATCAGTATTACGACAAAGCTGATCTCCGATCTCATTCAAAACAAATTCGAACGTTGAAGGTAGCATTCTATTTATCAAATAATTATATAATTATATTATACATTACATATATTATACACACACACAATTCGTATTATTATAGTATAATAATATATATTGTAGTATATTATGTAGTATAATTATAAATACAAATTTTCTTATAAAATTGTTATTAATGATATTATTTACCGAAAATGCGATTTAAAATATTCACTACTGAGTGATGGTACAATATGTTCAACATAATTTTCAATATTCTTAATACGGTTTTCATTTGTGATATTTTGAGAGGTTATTATTATGTCAATTTCCTCATCATCACAAAGATAAGAATATATATCTAAATAATTCTTTACAATACATATTGCAGCTATATCTTTATTCATTTTTAAAAAATTTTTAAATTTCGTTATGTTTTATATGTTAATTTATATTTTTTTTTAATTTTGCACTTCAAACGCTTCAGACACTTTCAGACCGGTCAATTTTACCAACGTTGAGAACATCTGTAGCGCTACTTGACCATTCCATGAAAGCGTTGAAAACGAAAGCGTTCGAAGCATTCAGAAGCGGCAACTCGACCGCACCCATAGTCTATCCAGCCTAATGGGAAATTTGTTCCTGTTGTTGTAATAGTATTACAATGTTACAATATTGCCGTAATGTTCTATGTTTGTTTGGATGTACTAATAAAAAAAAACAGCGGAAATACAGATAATAAACGCACACATTAATATAAATATAAATTAATATAAATAAGTCTGAGATACCCTGTATTCAGAGCAACTTCAAAAAACTCGTTTGTAGTGCGCTCCTTTTCACTAAATTTTATTATATTTGGAGCTATATCAATGAGAAAATTCATCACTCGCTTGTTCTGTCTAAACGTCGTCGCAGGGCATACTCCAAATCTCTGGGAGACATCTCTAAGACATACTTTATTTCCAGCAAACCTAAATTGAATGATAAATAACTATTTGCACATATTTTAAATGAGTGACAGTTATAATCTATGTACGTATGAAATATACCACAAAAATGATAAAATGTCCAATTCAGCAGAGGTAGGTTTACTACCTCTGTGAGTTCTATCAGACGGATAGAATTGTGAAATTGTGTAAATTTCAATTATTTTATAAGCTGTTGCTCTTGCTACACGAAAATGACTTTTGAACTGTAACAATAATATATAATTATTTGTAGCACTTATATACAACACATGTATATATTTTTTTACATAATACAATACCAATACAGTATAATAAACAATACCTGTACAGCAACAATTAAATTATTAATAAATAATAAATATATAATCATATAATCAATAATTATATAAATATATAATCGACTTACGTCCTTATCAGTAAGATTATGTACAACATTGATAAAATTTTCGATTTTTGGAATTTTTTAGGATTTTCTTTTATTATTTCATCTTCATCACTGCTAGATGATGAAGAAGATAGTGTAAGATGCAACCGATTACTACCGATAGTTGGCGCCAGCAGACGGCAGCCAGAGCATCGATAGCAGCTCCACGATATAATCGATTCTGCGCGAGCGCGCTCCCGCTCCAGATATTTTCCTCTTGTTAAATTGTAACCGATAAAATGATCGAGAATTTTCTAGCGAGTCGACCTGATAGATAACACAAGAACGAGAAGGCACTCTCTATCGCCGAATCAAACAGAACAGTCGCACAATCGAAAATATAGAGAGACAGTCGGGCCGAATTAGTCGAATCGAAACTTAGTCGTTTTTCGCAAAGTTGTAATATTTCTACATAAAGACAGTTTGTTAAAAATCACGTAAAGCCAGTGTCGATATTATTTGATCAGCCAGAACCATCCTTTCAATTACCGTTTTCATTAATATATATTTCTTTAATAAATAAAACATAATATCCGGGGTCACGTCTAGGACGTAACCGTCGCAGCCGTTTAAAATTAATTGTGTCGGGTCGAACTACTTTTTATCAGAAGATTGAATCGAATCTTTCAACTCAGAAGTGGGATAACGGGCCTATTTAACCCGTGTCGGAAAAGTCGAAAAATTTAAAGTCGAAAATTGCCGTGTCGTGTCGGAAGGGATTGCAGGCCCTTTGAGTCGGAGTCGAGTCGAATAAAGTAGACGAACTTTGTCGTAATAGAACATTTATTTGAACATTTTTCGGACTGAATAAGTCCGCGCCGAGTCGAAAAAGTGACAAAAACTCTTGTCGTGCCGAGTAGAAGCAGTGTGCGGGCGGAAGTAATCCGCGTCGAGTCGAAAAAGGCAAAAGTTGCCGTCGGAGCGTGGCGGGTCGATCAACGGATTTTTCAAAGCCGCGTTGAGCTTTAGAATGCCGAAAACCAGGTCCATGATGGACAGAGAAGACCTAGAAAAGGCTTCGTTAGAACAGCTCCAGAGAGAAGCGAAAAGATACCAATTACCGGTCTCAAACGACCGTGATTTATTGGTAGAC